ACTATTAAATAAAAAATAAAATTCTTTAATATTTTAAATCTCTCTAATTTAAAAATTTTTATTTCATGATCTAAGTCAATTTAAATTGTGAAACAACACATCTTTTCAAATATTAAAATATTTTAATTTTATATTTTTAAATATAAGAATCTAATTGATTAAAAAAAAAATTTATGTCTCTCACCTCTCCCTTTCTTTTTGCCGTAAACCAAGTATACCCCCCCTTAATTACCCATCTTAACTCGCTTATATTCTCCGCACCTTTAAATAAATAAAAAATAAATAAAAGAACCTTAAAAAATAGGACAAATGAGATGGAGAAATATACTTTCCTAAAAATTGAAATTTCTAGGGAAAAAAATTCCATTTTCTCGAGAAAATTTTGTAGAGGAAAATCCTAAAAGTAGAGAGGGAATCTAGAGAGAGAAAGTGTCTTGCCCTCATTTCAGAGAGAGAAAATCTAGAGAGACTGAAAGGGCAGAATTTACATTTGAGCTTTCCCTCTGTATGTTGCAGAAGTCAGATTCTTGTATGACCATATCAAGAAAATTTTCTCAGATCGGAGAGAGGTAGAGAGTTTGCAATTTAGAGATAAGATAAGTGAAATTAGGTAGGTATTTATATCATATATGTATATCAGATTTGTTGTTTGTATTTGTCGAAATAGAAATTGGGATTGGGATTTAGATTGGGATTGGAATAATCTCTCTCAGTGGTTTATGGCAGGGGAATCTACGGAGTGAAGAGAGAGGGCGTAGAAGAGAAGTGTTATTGATGTTGGAATTCAATTGCAATTTGTTGTTTCCGCGATGGTCGGGGAAGTGAGGCGGAGGGAGGCCAGCATGAGAGAGCCGTGCAATGCGACGGAGATAATCAGGGAACCTGAGACATGTAATGTGTTCTTCATTAGGGTTTGCGTTTCTATGTTGTGGTTTAATACTTTAATTTAATTCAGTGCTTTAAAGTTTTAATTTTTGGTCTACTTTTTGTATGGGTTGACGCCGGTATGGGGGATATTGGTAGTCTGATTAATTATTCCGCCAGTTTGTTGATTGCTTGGATGGGTTGATTGTGTTTCAGAAATTGGGGCTTTTTAGGTTTGATGGATTTGGTTATAAGTCTAGGTTACTTTGGCCTCTAAACTTGCTCCTCTGTTTTCTCTTTTTATTGTGTTTTGTGTGTCTGCTACTAGTGTTTCAATGTTAAATTTTTTGCTGTTCTGATTTGGTTGCTAAAAAGAGGTGCTTTATGAATGACATCCTACTTAGTGAATCAAATAGTATCATGTTTATAGAATATGCTGTTAACTTTACTTGCAATGTGGGAGATAATGATTGATCCAGTTTGGTGTGTTTTTTAGATCACACCAGTTCAAAGAGGGACTTATCATATGCAAGGGCCAGTGGATGATATAGAAGATCACAATATTCAGAAGAATATGGTGAGATAACAGGGTAATTTGCATTCTGTGTTATTACTTTTGAGTCCTTTTTTTCTCCTTCTCTCATATATATTTGTGCAGGGAAAAGGGAAAATAACATCTAATAATAACCATGTGATAAATTTGATAAAGTCAGGGCCCGCACTATATCCCACATATTTAATGGCTGTCATTAGATGTCCTAGCATCTTAAATGCTAGGACGTCCTGATTTTCCCTTTTCCCGGTTGTGTAAGTGATGAAATGTCACCAAGTTTAGCTCAGTCTCTGTGCTAAGTGTCAAATGGAGTTATTTATAGTTGGGAATTTTGCTTGTTAGAGAAGAGAACTAATAGGATGAATAGACAGGAGTGAAGATCAATCAGAGGTTGTAAAAACAATTTTATGTGCTCCCTATAAGCTGGGTTTGAAATATATAGAAGTGGTAAAAAAGGAAAATGTAATGCTAATTGATAAATCTCCTTATTCAGTTTTCCCTGTCCATATAGCTCTCCAGATTGGAGCATGTTGCCTAAGATTGATAATTATTGAAAAAATGTAGTTTTGAGGTGTTTTTCTGCCTAATTTTTTGTAGGCTGATAGACACTAATCTCATATAATTATTGAGATTCATTTAATGAAAATTGGGTTATGTGACTTAAAAATATATATTGTGAGCAATTAATAATCACCATTATCCCTGCAGAATGCTAAGAATTTTGTGCTAGAAACATGTGGAGGTTTGAAAATTGTAAAAGATTTTGTAGTGCTCTCATTGCAAGTGTGAAAGTGCAATGCAAATGTAGCTAATCTTTGAGAGAAGGAGAAAAAGAAGAAGGGGTGAGTTTCCATGGCTGCATGTTGTTTGGGACAGATGCACATGTTTTTCATATGAGTCTTGCCTGCTGGTGCTATGTCTTTTCCATTTTGGTCTTATTGTTGGGTTATAGTCTTGTTATACTCTTCTGAACTGACGATGATATTTAACATTTGATATATATGAGTGTCTTATTGGAGGGTGCAGAAATATTTGGTTTATAATAATAATAATTTCTATGGCTTTTTATGCTTATCTCACTGTCCAGTAGATTAGAGATCACAGACTTGGTTGTGCTGTCACTGGTCAGTTTGAAATCTGTTCTGGAGTGATATAAATTTAGTACTCTTGCCCCAACAACTTAAAATTTTCATTTAAGTTCTAGATCAATATGATTATTTGTTATTCTAAAGCATGGTGCTTGAGCATCTATGGGGGAGACTAATGCTTTAACTTCCATTAGTGCATTGAGGAACTGCATGAGATGAGATCTTCAACAAGGAATGCAACATTAGGTTTCCTTGATTAACTAGGAGACCCTACAAATATAAGGTTGATCTTTGTGAAATAATTCTTAATGAGAAATCCTTAAAAATAGGTTCAGGTAAGTTGAAAGTCCAATGGAGAAAATTGACTGTGTGAGTTATGAAGATAATAAAGTACCATTTAAATTAAATGCCTGCTTTCAATAACTAAATAATAGACATAAAGAAACAATAAGATTCTTTTTTTTTTTTTTAAATCAACAGAAAGATGCAATTGCCAATGGGCTAACATATTACATGAGATATATGTATCTCTAAATACATGGAAAATATATTTTTTAGATTTTTATTGGGTGTATCCAATATCTTAAGAGGACATCTTTCTCGGCCTACAATACTTCAGGTTTAGGGAGTCATATTGTTTTACCTCTTGTTTATTTTGTAAAGCTTCTGCAGCTCTCAGCATTTTAAGCTGAATCTTATTAGCTTTTAAATGGTTTACATTTCTGTACAATTGATTGTTTCTAATTTTATACTTTGCTTATAGAATTCATAGCGCACATGATTCATATGTATACCTGTTACTTTTTAAAAACTGTAAATATCTTTTATTTTGGTAATTGGTTCTATCTTGTGCTTTCTCACTTTCTCATTGAATGGAAAGAAAGTGCCTAGTTCTGGTTCTGTCCCCCCTCTGTCCTTGCTGTGTCTCCTCTCTGTTTTGGCATTATTTCTGCAGAGAACTTATTTACACTTTTTTTTTTAATTTTAATTTTATTTTTTAGGATTTGAATAAGTAATAGTTGAACATTTGTAGGAAAGGCTTTTCTGTTTTTATCTTAATTATTTGTTTAATTCTGCTTTGTTGATCTTAGGTACCATCTGAAGCTGTAAAAAGATCTGGTAAGTGTTCTATGTATCGAAAAGTTCACAAAACAGAATCTGGAACCTGCAACGTGTGCTCTGCCCCCTGTTCATCTTGTATGCATCTCAATATGGCTCAAATGGGTTCAAAGAGCGAAGAATTTTCTGATGAAACCTGTCATGTTACTGTAGCAAGTCAGCATTCCGCCAATGAGGGTAAAGCTTGTGATAACTTGCAGAATACCCTGAGTGAAGCAAGTAACCTGCTTAGCATCAATTCAAGTCATGATTCTTTCTCTGAGAATGTGGAGAGTGAAGCAACTGTAAGGCCTCCTGATGCATCGGATGCTTCAGAAGTTGTTGAGACACAAAAAAATTCCTCAAATAAGTATGAGGGTTCAAGAGATGTGGAAGGAAATGATGATACTATATCATGTCTTAGCAGAGCCAGTGATGCAGTCAAAGATGTCAATAAAGATCTAAACAGTAAGAATTTACCCCCTTGTTCAGCTTCAGTTTGTAGTTTAGGTTTAGAAGTAGCTGGAAAAGCACTATCTTCCCAGTAGTTTGACTTGTCAGAGCTTCCTTCTGCAGGGGTAGATGCTGGCAGTCATTCATCCAAGCTACGAAGTCGACAATCCCACCATTCCCAAATTGACAAGTACCCTGTTGGAGGCAGTTCTGAAGTTCTAAACAAAATTCATCCAAAGTTTGAATCAGAAACTGACAATCATTGTGGGGACCGCCCGGAGAAGGTTCTTGCTTTTTCGAATAAAGATGAACAAGATAACTTAAATGAGTTGGTTGATTTGATTGACAAGCAGGAGCCCACAGTACATGAAGCATCTGGGGATGAGAGTGATGAATCAGATGTTGTGGAACATGATGTGAGTAGCAGTTCTGAGCTCTCCTTTCACTCTTTCTTTAGATTTGTTAGGGATTTTTAGTATTGTTCCTGTGACCCCCTTTTACCTTTTTCCTCCTTTTTTTTTATCATTTATTTTATTTTATTTTATTTTTATAGAAAAAGCTAAGTCGTGGAATAATTTTATCCCTGTAGTTTAATTTATAGTAATACACTAGGATTTTTTTTTTCTTCTTATTTAGGTTGATTTGATGAATCCTGAGGACATGTTGCATCTTTCAAATATAATTGTTTGCCTTGTTGGTTATCAAATTAGGAGGTCCTCCTAGGACACTGATTATCAATGTCTTATTTTACCTCTAAATTGTTTGGTGCTTCCATATTTTAATTTATTTTCCTTTAGATTTATAGCAATGTCGGGCTTACCAGGCGAAATGAAGCCTCAATCCCTTTCTCTAAGTTTTCTTGAAGGACCTTCCTCTCAACTAATTCATTTCATTTAGTCTGTTAATTAATTTGGACCATCTTGAGATTGTTTTACCTGGTAAAAATTATTAAAAGGATATTAATTTGGATTACCTGCCCCTTTCTATTTGTTTGTATTTTTGTTTTTCAATCACAATTTCCCATGATGAGTAAAGCCCTGTTATTTTTTGGGTCTGAAATAGGTCAAGGTATGTGACATTTGTGGGGATGCGGGTCGAGAGGATTTGCTTGCTATATGTAGCAAGTGCAGTGATGGTGCAGAGCACACGTAAGCAAATAAAACCTTTTCATAATTGTTTATTGATAGGATTTATAAATTTGCTGTTTTATCTTGGTTGATACTGCTACATTGAGTGTTGAGTTTAACATTTTAACTGCTATCAAACAGTTACTGTATGCGAGAAATGCTTCAAAAAGTCCCTGAAGGTGATTGGCTTTGTGAAGAATGCAAGCTAGCTGAGGAAGCTGAAAGTCTAAAGCAAGGTAAAGCTAATATAATAGATGTAAGATGTTCATCTCAACACTTGAATGGCTGAACCCTGTTCTTTTGGTAATTCAATTTTCAAGGTTCAGATGTTGAAGGAAAACGAGTAGACAAACCTGGCTCAAGTAGACAAAACTCTGGTAAGAGACTTGCAGAAAATTTAGAGGGTGCTCCAGCTGCGAAAAGACAGACTATTGAAACAAATATAGGATCACCAAAGTCTTCAAGTCCTAGCAGAGTAGCTGCTTTATCTCGGGAGAGTTCATTCAAAAGCATAGATAAGGGGAAAATGCGACCAAGTTCTCATATGTTTCTTGGCAATCATTCCAATAATGACATGTCAGAAGCCACACGCTCTCCTACTTCTGGTTCAAAGCTGCAAGAGTCCAAGGGTAAGAAGATTATTTCTGTTGGCTAAACATTTCTTTTCTCATTTATATATCCTTTGTCCCCAAACATATGCTTTTTTTATTTTTTATTTTTATTTTTTGATGCATACATCACCTTTTGGGTTTAATCATTCAAGTCACTGTATATATTTTTTCTACGTGCCACAGGTACCTTCTCAAAATCAACTTCATTCAGTTCCAAACCGAAAGTCAGGCCTGTGGATAGAATCTTTCATCAGAAACCAAAACACGCTGGGGAACATTCTTCCAATGATACAAAAGATGATCCTGTTAGAGTGCTTCGCAAATCGTTGTCATTTAAATCTGCAATCCCAGGAGGCAGTTTGAATGCTGGTGAATCGAAAGTTAAAATGCTATCACCAAGACATTCTCATGTTCAAGATGCAAAAGGGTTTAAACAGTTAAAAGATCGGATTTCTCTTGAAAGGAAAAATATTTCTAAATTGGATCGTTCTAGTTCTACTGTCTCAACGCCTAAGGTTGATCAGAAGCTGACATCCCGTGCTGAAACAATATCTCATTCATCTGTAAGCAGCAACAACAGAGAATCCAAGGTTGGGCAGACAGATGGAAAATTAAGTACTTTTCCAAGATCCACCAGCAGTCTAGGTCGTAAAGGTGTAGACATTGCAGTTGCTTCTGGTATGATCTGTACCTTCGTATACTGATTCTGCATGCTATTATCTCATATCATTTGTTCTATGTCCATTTTTTTGTGCAATTCTTTGGTTTCTAATGGTGTTAAGAGGACATGTTCTTGTTTGACAGCAGTTGGAGGTTCAGCTTCATCCAGCAACGGAGTACCAAGTTCTGCTGAACAGAAAATAAACCAAGTAAGCCTGAAGGATGAACCCTCTAATAACTCCAATGGAGTTTTGCAAGAAGGGCTACCTCGTTTACCTGATTCAATAAATCAAGATGATAAAATGAGGGAGAATTCAGTTAATCTCTCTTTGAAAGGTGTTCCATGTCAGAAATGTAAAGAAAGTGGCCATACAACAGAATCTTGCTCATTGGGTACCCCTGAGGCTGCTGCCGTGGACATTTCTGCTCCAGGAAATTCTAGAGAGGTGATAAATAAAGGGAATAAGTTGAAGGCTGCAATTGAAGCAGCTATTCGTATGAAGCCTGGAATATGTGAAAGAGCTTCTAAAGATCAATTATCAGTTTCAACTAAGGCAAAAAGTATGATTGCTGTTGAAAGCACTCAAGGAGGGTGGAATCAGGCTACTAACACTAATATGAAGCAGGTTACAGCGCAGCCCACTGATGCTGTCTCTGTTGTTCCTTCAGTGGGCAATTCTGCAACAAGAGATTGGCCGAGCCATGCATTAACCTTGATATCTGGTATTTCAAACATGTCGGCCATCCCAGAGCACAAATATATGTGGCAGTAGGATTCTTATACTTGTCCCTTGTCAATATTGCTTTTCTTGCCTTCTTTTTGATATAGTTTTCTTTTAATGTTAGTAGTATGTGTGGCATCTTTGAGTTGTTTTTTGGTGGTTTCTTCTGCTTCTCTGCAGGGGTGGGTTTGAGGTGCATAGAGGAGGAAGACTACCAGATTTTTGTGGTGGTATTCAAGCACATCTGTCAAGCCTTGCATCTCCTAAAGTTCTTGAGGTGGTTAACAGGTTTCCACTCAATGTTACCTTGAATGAGGTGCCTCGTTTGAGTACATGGCCAACACAGTTTCATAAAAGTGGTCCCAAAGAAGATAATATTGCTCTTTACTTTTTTGCCAAGGACCTAGAGAGGTAATAGATCCATATATTATAATTCTAGCCTGTTGCTTCTCTCATCACTTGAAGTTCTTTTCTTTGATGGATGTGCTCTTATTGCTTTCTGTTTTTGGAAATCTTTGTGCTGCATATGATACAGTTATGAGAAGAACTACAGGAGCCTCTTGGATAGCATGGTTAAGAATGATCTAGCCCTTAAAGGAAGTTTTGATGGTGTGGAACTTCTCATATTTCCATCCAACCACCTTCCTGATAATTGTCAGCGTAAGTAGTAATCATAAAACTCTGTTATTTAAACATGAAGTGTAGTACCTTGTCAGTATATTTCTGGTAGGATGATCAGGTTTAGACCTTTAAATTTAAGTTTCACAGAAAAGTGAAGGCCAACGAATATGTCAATTTGATTGCTGAAAATTATAGCTTTAGAGGAACTGGTGAATTCTGGTCATTAGATCCAATTTTGATAGCTATAAATCCTTCATGCTTGTCATATAGAAAATGCCTCCACTTGTGGCAAATGGCAATGA